TTGATTTGAGTAATAACTCTCCCACATGGTATGGCTAGACTTGCATCAATTAAATGCTCTCTCTACTGCAATGTCATGAATGAATTTTGTTTGTACAGTGAGCAGGAAGAACTCATCAGGCAGTTACAAATTTGGGGGCTTATCCAGGATCCACCCTTGCAAATATCTGCCTGTGGTTCGTAAGCCTCCTACCAGTACAACAGACCTAAAGGTGAGCTCTGGCAACTGCTTATTTCTTCTGAGGGTCATCTCTGGCAATGTACTTGCTGGTGAGGCACTGTCAACCCACAGGGCAGAGATCTAATTACACTGAAGAAATAGTCCTGGAACCTGTCTGAAATGCCTCTTATTAAAAAATCTGTTTGCCTTCATCACATACAAAGGATTAGCCCATCTGCAATGCCACCTCCTGATATGGGAAACAGCTATTCAGCTGAACTCATCGAGTCTTGGGACTAGGAGCTAAAAAGATATGGGATGGTATATTTAAATTTGCTCTTTCCTGTTTATGTGAATCTGTATGTCTAATAATCTACTCATTATCCTATAGTCTGCGGTTCACTTAAGTGCCATGCTAAAACTGTGGATGAGAATATTAACGTCTTTGTCATATAAGGCTTGGAACCCCAATCAGGCACCTATGAGTGCATCCAAAGCAGTTCCACTCCTCTTACCCTAGGGGCAACCCATACCCCAACTACGCCCCCTGTCAGTAGGAAGAAGTTGGAGCAGTTCTCACCCTTTTCCCATCTCATAGCTTACACCTCAGGATTGAGGCATGTTGAAACTCAAAGGATGAAAGTGAAACAGCCTTTGCAAAAAGTATTGCAGTGAGAAAATTATGGCAGTGGGGGAGGCATGATCTAGCCTACAACCCTCTAGCCTCTAACATTCAAGTTCCCTTAATTATTCCTAGGCTTAGGCTAGGCTAGCTGTGGGAGACGTTTAGTTTATAGTTTAAGTAAAACTAGCCCTTCCCCAAAACTCAACTGTCTTTGTAAAGCTAGTGAGAGAACACCAGGCTAGGAAGATAGAGGAGGCTGAATTTTGCTAAGGTGTAGACAAAAACAGCCATTATTCCAGAGGTCACAAGATATGCAACTTCCCCAATATTCCTGCAGATAACATCACTATTGTAGAACCTAACAGTGGCCTTGTAAGAGATCTTTACAGGTTTTTTGCATTTCTGAAACCATAATGGTTCCACCTGGAACCACCAGCTGCTCCCAGAAGTGATTCACCATGCAAGAGGATCATTTCCCACATCCCTATGATTGCACCTTCCAAACAATTAGCAGCAAGCACCCATTGCCTAGCCACCCCTAACTCTTCCCCCAAACAACTTTTGAAAAACCCCTAACCTATGAGCCTTCAATAAGATTGATTTAAGTAATAAGTCTTAATAATCTTCAGTGTGGTGTGACTGGCCTTGCATCAATTAAACTCTTTCTCCACTGAAATTCAGTGAATTGATTTTGTTTGTGCAACAGGCAGAAAGAACCTGTCCAGGGTTACAGTATCTGGCCCACAATATTTTCAGCTGTCTCCAGGAAATATTTATTCAATTGTTCCTCATATAAAAAGGGAACCAATTACCTACTCATTGGGCATTAGATGTGTTTTGTTGGCAAGATAAAAAATGTGGAGCTCTTCTTAGGGAATGAGAAAAAGAGGAGCATTGAAAATCCAAGTGCTGTGATTTCTCGTCACATTAAATAACAGCAAGACCCTCTAATGAAATGATGAGCATCCTCACATGGCCTTGTAAAGTGTCAGCACTGGTTTCCTCGGGCCTCTGCAAGGTAAACGTAGTCTTCCCTTACAGATTCGCAGTCTTTGTGGCTCATAGACACCAATCCCAGAGCCACAGTCTGTCCCCAGGTGATGACAATTTTAAGAAGGCCAACTACCACAACTACTGCAACTACATCATAGAACAGATCTTCACAGGTGGCCTGCAGTTGGATGTCACCTGCCAAGTCCGCCATGGAATCTCCACCGCCATAGACCCCTTGTGGGACATCAGCTTAGATCTGCCTGGCTCTTCCACCCTCTTGTGGCCCATGAGGTGAGGGAGTGAGGGCAGCATGGTGAATGGCAAGAGTCACATTTTGGGCTTGCAAAAGTGAGAAGCCCACCAGTGCTCACGTGGCAAGGAAGTGTCTTCCTCACAGGAAGGCTGTTGTTGATCAGGACAAAAGCAGGGCTTTTCTTTCACATGCCCAGGACAGAGCCTTGAGAAAAGATGTGGCATTAGCCTGCAGTTGGCTGCAGATGCTCTTGCTAGTTTATGGTGTATTTTTTTCTTTTTTTGCCAGATGACTAGATATTGGTGTTCACTAGCTTTGCATTGTGTAGGGTATCTGTAACACCAGCTACTATTCCAACATCACCCCTGTAAATGATCTGACAGCCAAAGAGCAAAACTGGAAGCTCCCTTACCTTTTGTGGTTAATAACCAAAACCTCAGCGTGAGCTAAGAGCTGAGTGCTCTCCCCATGGTCCACGGCGTATTTTGCAAGTGATTAAAATATAGTTATGGTGTTCCATACATATGATCATTTTTGAAATTATCCATTTACTGCTTCAGTTTAGATAAGTAATAAGATTTAAGATGTGACTGTTATAAAATGTGTTTAAATAACTGTAGCATACAGCTTACAATTGTGGTGAGGGCAGAAAACTTTCCTAAACTTTATGTTAATTGAGTCTAGTGTTTTACAATCTTTATTTTCTTTTGCATGCATTAATTAAAATTTACTGAAGAAGAAAAAAATTCTAATAGAAATTACAATGGAATTCTTTCCAACAGTCTAATCCTATACTTTGTGTTAAGTTATATGTAAGAATAAGAAAAATCTGCAGTTGAACAATTAGAATTTATTTTTATACATTAATTGTGGAAAATACTAATGGCAATATTTGGATTTAATTGTTTATAACAGTCATCTTGCAAAAGCTATGAGAAATAGGAAGGTTCACTCACAGGTACCTAAAATAAAATGACAGGCTACTTATGAATATAAGCATCATGATGCACACTATATGAAAATTTAGTTTTTTACTAATAATAATATTTCAGTTATTATTGACCCTTAACTCGTAAGTTGTATCTAGACCAAAAACTACAAATTAACAAAAAATATCTGCTGAGAAGTCATATCTTTGCACTTCCCTCAGTATGGTGACTCTTGAAATGTGTACATCCCTTGTACATAATGTATGTGTAAAAATGTATTTATTTCAACTAAATGTTCTCAATAAGGTCGTTCTACCTATCATTCTCCTGTGCTCAAAATACACACCAAAACCCCAATAATTTTTAAGTATTTCAAGATATTGGCTCCTGAAGGGCATGAAGATTGTAAGCCAAAATGAGGCCCATACCCACCAGTGTGGATCTGTCTTTTTGCAACTGAACTGTCACTTAAGAGACCAAAGCAGAATTACTCTTCCAGAAGTGAAATACTTGATGTTGCCCTAATGGCAAGATGTTTTTCCTGTTCTAAATCCTTCATAAGTAAATCTGATACAAAATGTCTGGTGAGTATGAATATTCTGTCAAATTTAAGAAGACTATGTGATGGACATTGCAAAAGCCAATCTCAAAATTTTTAAATTATTTTTCAGACAGAAAATAACTATAACTTGTCTTAAGTGCATAGCAATTAAAATTATATTTTTTTCTCATAAAACATAAGAAAGCAACTTCTTTTTAAAATATTCAATGTTTTCAAAAAAATGTTTCCATTTTTCCAAAATTCAACATTTTGGAAAGGCTTTAGATTAAACATTGATGCAAATATGAACACCCTTTGTTGAGCTTCAACAATAATATTACACTCAAGCCCTTAATACGAGAGAACAACTCCATCCTGATCAGAAACTATAGGTGTCACTGAAGAATTCGACTACATATGGCTTTTATTTTTCTTTCTTTATTTTTTTGAGACACAGTTTCAAGCCCACAGTTTTTGCTCTGTCACCCAGGCTGGAGTGCAGTCGCGTGATCTAGGCTCACTGCAACCTCCGCCCTCCCGGTTCAAGGAATTCTCCTGCCTCAGCCTCCCAAGCAGCTGGGACTACATGCACACGCCACCACACCCGGCTAATATTTTGTATTTTAGTAGAGATGGGGTTTCACCCTGTTGGCCAGGCTGGTCTTGAACTCCTGACCTCAGGTGATACAACCACCTCAGCCTCCCAAACAGCTGGGATTACAGGCGTGAGCCACCGCGCCCCACCCCGTATGGCCTTTAAATGCTCAATAAAATATTATAAATAAGTAGAACTGAATACACCTAATAATCTATGAAGCTTTATGGAAAGTTGTGTTTCTATATGTTTGCTGATATTTTCAATTCCTAAACATAATCTAAGATGCTAAAAAGTTCATCAGCATCTCACTTTTTATACTGATGACCTAGAAAAATTACTCACTTATATGGACCATTTCTGTCAGTTTTGATAGATTTGGTAAATTTAATGTTAAAGTATGAATGCTGTTTTTCAGTTTAAATGCAAAGTAGTCCCACTTAAAATCTAAACTGTGTAAACACATGATCATCAACAATTCTGCATCACTTGCCTTAATGAAACGGCTGAAACAAGGTGAGACCTTATTATGATGAACAGCGTAATATCATCACAGTCTATCAGTGAATGTTCTCTAAAAGGGACTCATCAAATGCTAAAAGAAATCTTTTTGTATTCTAAAGAATAATCTATCAAGTAAACAATTTTCTTGATACCTTCATCAGCTTTTACCTTTAATTTACTAAGGATATCTTGCTAGAAATATTAAATGAAAATGATTAATAGCACTAATTATCCTTTCTTTCCAATAAAATTATATTTTAAATTACTTTCATTATTGACATTCATACTACAATGTCACTTGTAATTTTTTAATAAAATCACTTGTCATTATTTCATAGAACTTCTAGAAAATTTCTTGACTAACATCCTCTTTTAAAACTGTGTTAAATTAAATCACTTACTGCAAACAGCCCACTCTTACTGCTACAGGAATGTGGGGAAGTTGGGTGGCCCACTTCAGTGTCACATCTTGATAAATATGCAACATGTTATTATGATTTGCAATCAAAGTATTTATTGTTCCTTCAGAAACTGTAAGTTGAAGATACAGAAAAGAGACACTAAGAAAACAGTCATTTGAAACAGTATATCTCTTTTAGGAAATTGATAACACAAACTAATTCTAACACCTTGATTTTAATATATAAAGATTTTATGTAATAAAACATTATTTTGTAAGTTTAATCTACCAGTATAAAAAAGAAAGGAATCATTTTACAGTCTTGGAAGCTATAACTAGATAATCGCCAACATTTTTGCATTTCATCTAGAAAGCATGAATTTCATTAATATGTAACACATTTAAGCTAATGATTTACTAGGCATTCACTACAGATAATTCATTCCATTAGACATTACTATTGTGCTTATAAAAGAGTCTGATGTTCTCTTGAAAGCATCTTGAACAGACACATAATGGAAAGTATTAACGTATGCTGGAGGCCAATTTTACAAGTCATTTTGTACAAAGTAAAATGACTGACGAAACCAAATGTATGCTTTGTATCAAACTTCTATTCAAACTTTTAAAGTTAAAATATCCATTACATATTCAGTATTAAACTGTTTTCATATATGTTTAAAATATGTGTATGAGTGTGGCTTTTTTCCAGTGTATATCACATAGCCTTGACATACGGAAGAGATAAAAGAAAATCTTTCTACACACCTGAGCAATACGGCAGAAAACAACTTGGGCTCCAGTCAAGCTTCTTCATGAACCGAATTTGTCCATTATCCTTAAGGCAAAAGAAGTTTCTCTCACCAAGAACAAAAACAGAGGATGCCGACTGATTGAAAGAGACAATACATATATCAAAGGCCTGCTCTCCAATATTTAGAGTCCAATCCACCTAAAAAGCAAAACTCAAGATCAATTTAGTTGCTAACCTCAGAAAATTTCAGTTATTTTCATATCAATACAAATTAAGAAATTGATTTACAACAAAGCAGAAATATAAAGATGGGCTAATCTCTTTCATTTCTTTCTTCTTTTTTTTTTCACTATGACCATTTTTCTGGCATTTTACGAGACTCTAATCAAAGTTTTGTTCCATGTCTTACCACGGACCAAAAAAGTGATATTAGCTATTCTGCAGTTCAAAATCACTAAAAAACTTACCTGCTTCCCTAAAAAACTTCCATGAAAACAATATTGTGCTTAATTTGCAAATCAAATTTAATAATCCATAAAAATTGTCATCATGATTGTACATGTGTTTTTATAGGACAACTAAAAATATATCAATATGCATATACAGAGTAGTCACCAAGCCACTAGAGAGTATAGCAGAATATTCTATACATAAGAGCTACTCCAGGATATCTCCATATTGCTGGGATGTGGTTAATGTTCAATAAATGCTTCTTAAAGTAATGAAAGAATGAATGTAAAATGAGCACTTTTCAGGATTCATCTCCCATACAATATTTCTAAGTCAGGAAAATGCAAAAGAGCAAAGACATACCATTTTGAAAAATATTGGCAGACAGGCATATAGTTTTCAGTTTTTCTAACTTTTACTTTAGGTTCAGGGATACATAGGAAGGTTTGTTACATAGGTAAATTCATTTCACAGAAGCTTGGTGTATAGATTGTTTTATTACACACGTACTAAGTGTAGTATGTAGTATGTGATAGTTATTTTTTCTGATCCTCTTCCTCCTCCCGCCTTTCACCCTCAAGTGAAAGTAAGAACATATGATACTGAAGTGAGAACATGTGATATTTGGTTTTCTGTTCCTGCATTAGTTTACTAAAGATAAAGGCCTCCAGTTCCATCCATGTTTCTGCAAATGACATAATCTCATTCTTTTTTATGGCTGCATAGTATTCCATGGTGCATATGTACCACATTTTCTTTATCCAGTCTACTGTTGATGGGTATTTTGACATTTTTTAATTTGCTGAGGATTGTTTTATATCCAATTGTGTAGTTGATTTTAGAGTATGTGCCATGTGGTGACGAGAAGAATGAATATTCTGTTGTTTTGGGATGGAGAGTTTTATAGCTGTCTATTAGGTCCATTTGGTCAAGTATTACATTCAGACCTTGAATCCCTTTGTTAATTTTCTGCCTCAATGATCTGTCTCATAGGGCCAGTGGGGTGTTGAAGTCTCCCACTATTATTGTGTGGCAGTCTAAATCTCTTAGTAGGTCTCTAAGAAATTGCTTTATGAATATGGATGCATCTGTGTTGGCTGTATATATATTTAGGATAGTTCGATTTTCATGTTGAATTGAACCCTTTACTATTATGTAATGCCCTTGTCTTTTTTTATCTTTGTTGGTTTAAAGTCTGTTTTGCCTGAAATTAGGATTGCAACTCCTGCTTTTTTCCATTTGCTTCATAGAGTTTTCTTCATCTCTTTATTTTAAGCCTACAGGTGTACAGCATGTGAGATGGGTCTCTTGAAGGCAGCATACCACTGTGTCTTGCTTTTTGACCCAGCTTGCCACTCTGTGTCTTTTAAATGGGACATTTAGCCTGTTTACATTCAAAGTTAGTATTGATATGTGTGGATTTGATACTGTCATTGTGTTTTTAACTGGTTATTATGCAGACTTGTTTATGTGGCTGCTTTATAGTGTCATTAGTTCATGTACTTAAGTGTTTTTTGTATTGGTTAGTAACAGTCTTTCTTTTCCATATTTAGTGCTTCTTTCAGGAGCTCTAGTAAGGCAGGTCTGATGGTAACAATTTCCCTTCTCACTTGCTTGTCTGAAAAGATTCTTATTTCTCCTTCACATACGAAGCTTGGTTTGACTGGATATGACATTCTTGGTTGAATATTTTTCTTTATGAATGTTGAATACAGGCCTCGAATCTCTTCTGGCTTGTAAGGTTTCTGCTGAAAGGTCCACTATTAGCCTGATGGAGCTCCCTTTGGAGGTAACCTGACCTTTCTCTCTAGATGCCTGTAACATTTTTTCTCCATTTTGACCTTACAGAATCAGATGATTATGTGTCTTGGGGATGATCTTTTTGTATAGTATCTTGCAGGGGTTCTCTGCATTTCCTAAATTTGAATATCAGTCTCTCTAGTGAGGTTGGGGAATTTTTCATGAATGATATCCTGAAAGAGGTTTTCCAACTTGCTTGCTTTCTCCCCATCTCTTTCAGGGATGCCAATGAGTCATAGAGTTGGTCTCTTTACATAACACCAAATTTCTTGGAGGTTTTGTTCATTTCTTATCTTTTTTCTTTATTTTTGTCTGACTGTCTTATTTCAGAAAGCCTGTCTTCAAGCTCTGAGATTCTTTTCACAGTGTGGTCTCTTCTGCCATTAATACTTGTGATTACATTATGAATTCTTGTAGTGTGTTTTACAGCTTTATCAGGTCCAGTTAAGTTATTTTCTATACTGGCTATTTCGTCTGCCAGCTCTTGTGTCATTTTATTGTGATTCTTAGATTTCTTGGATTGGATTTTGACATTCTCCTGAATCTCAATGGTCTTCCTTTCCTATCCATATTCTGAATTCTATTTCTGTCACTTTAGCCATCTCAGCCCAGTTAACAACCTTTGCTGTAGAATTAGTGTGATAATTTAGAGGAAGGAAAACACTGTGGCCTTTTGAGTTGCCAGAGCTCTTGCACTGGTTCTTTTTTATCTGTGTGCATGAGTATTCCTTTTTGTGAGGTGTAAATTGAGTACAGTCAGTAGACTTCTGGATGTTTTCAGAGGGCTGAAGCTTTCTGCAAGGTTTTTATTTATAGCTAAATTCTTGCCTATGGTTTCAAAGTGGGGTATGTTAGCAAGTGTATTGGTCAGTAGGTAGGCTCTTTCTCACTTATGTGGCTCCTCTCTATTTTCTTTTTTTTTTTTCCTTTTGAGACAGAGTGACGCTCTGTTGCCAGGCTGGAGTGCAGTGGTGCCATCTCGGCTCACTGCAACCTCCGACTCCTGGGTTCAAACGATTCTCCTGCCTCAGACTCCCAAGTAGCTGGGACTACAGGCACATGCCACCACGCCCAGCTAACTTTTGTGTTTTTAGTAAAGATGGGGTTTCACCATGTTGGCCAGAATGGTCTCGATATCCTGACCTCATGATCCACCTGCCTCGGCCTCCCAAAGTGCTGGGATTACAGGCGTAAGCCACCACGCCTGGCCTTTATTTTTTTCCAATTGGAGTCTCACTCTGTTGCCCAGGCTGGAATGTGGTGGCACAATCTCAGCTCACTGCAGTAGCTGCCATCATGCTCCCTATCAATGCTCTGAAAGTGTGGGCTCTTCTCCCACTTCTGTGCTGGCTGTAGATCACAGCTTGGCACTCCCAGGCTGCACTCTGCCTCTCTGGGGAGATCTCAGGCTTTATATTCCCTCCCCAGCTTAGAGGCAGCAGAGGAAGGGACCTTAGCAGTGGCTGGAACCAAGGGTCTTGTCTCCTGGTGCTTCACCCGAGAAAGATGCAGAGCGGCAATCAATCCATTAATTGGCCCAAAAAGGGAGGGCTTCACTGTGGGTCCAAGCCGGGGTCCCTGACAGGCTTGTGTTGTATACGAAAGTAACAGTGAATGGTTTCACACAGAAAAATCTGCACAAAGAGGAACTGAGGGCTGCTGTGAAAGTTAGGGTATAATCAACAAACAATGGATCCAAGAAAAGATCATGAAAAATCACATTAAAGACAAGATGAATTTTTGGCCATCAAGACATGATCTTAGGTATTCATCTACTTTAGATACTAAAATATTTGAAGAAGGTATAAAATCCAAATGGGGCTGGCCAGAAAGGCAGATATTGCCAGTATATATACAAGAACAATCTGTAGAAGGGAGACAGCCTAGTGAACATAGGTAGGTGCATCAGACTATCTTAAGCTCAACTAGAATTTAACACTAAGAAATTATTTGATTACTATTTGGCTCAAGTATTGCTTACCTATATAAAATGATTCCACTGGACAAGACATGAATATCAGTCCCATGACAGTTATATTTCTCATTATATTGTAACAGGCTAGCATTCGGCTTTGTACATCAGTGTCTGTAACTCAGGCTGATGTGGGCCTCACTCTGAGAGGTGATTTATTCAAAGTGAACAGGCAAATCATGTTTCTGAGGCCACAGTCTGAGATCCAGCCAATAAATACTTTCAATTTACCAGGTACTGAATGCCACTCTCTGTGACCTCCACTTAGGGAAATACACTACATTCTGAATTAATGAGTCTCATAAAACACAGAAATTTGCTAAGAACAATGATAAAAAAAAATTCTTCCAGTTCCAGCCAAGATGGAGTAATAGGGAAATGATTTAGCATCCCACCTAAAACAACCACAAAATGGACAAAATAAATGAAACAACAGTTTGCAAGGCACTGGACACCAGACAACAAAGCACAGCAATCCTTTAAAGACAGAAAACAAATGAGGTGAGTGGCATGATTGCTCCAGCCTTAAAAGAGTTTCTAGGCCATAGCGCAGGGAAGAAGAACTTAGGCAGAGGCCAGCAGACTCTGAATTGTGGAGATGGATACTCAGAGTCTGGAGAAACCACATCAGTTGAGTTAACAAGACAGCACACCAAATAGCTGCATACAGACAGAACTGTGGAGATCTGCAGAGAGTGCCCTCGAATACTCAGCTGAGTACTTACTGGCATATTCTTGTAAGGAAACTACACAAGGCCAGGGAAAGAACCACCCAAAAGATTAGAGATAACAGTGCCCAGCATTCACACAGGGTAAAAGATATTTCCTGTGCCTACCAGCCAGGCTGCAAAACCTCATAATTCTGAGCAAATTGGGTACAGTACTAAGAAGGATCTTGCCTGAAGAGTAAAGAAAAAGTAGCCCTAAAATGAGCATTGCCCTGGTTCCACTTAACAAGTCTTGAGAACAAGGCCCCCCAAAATCAAACTGTTTCCAAGTAACTTAACTGTGTCCCAGTGATAACCTCAAGAACAGTATACACATAAAAAAATGAAAAATTCACCAGCAGACCCACACTAAAAGAAATGTGAAAGGAATTCCTTTAGTTTGAAGGAAAATGAAACCAGATGGAAAGATGGAGTTATAGAAATTAAAAAGAACAACAGAAATTATACCTACGTGGGTAAATACATATTTTTCTTGTAATTTGAATCTCATTAAAATGTAATTGATTATTTATGTAAAAATAATTACAATGTAATATGGGGTTCACAACCTATGTAAAAAAAAAATAGGACAATAGCACAAAGGCTGGAAGGTAGGAAACATAAGCATAGTTCTTATATTATATATAAGGTAATATATCACCTGAAAATAGAGTTAAGCCAAAGATAAATAATGGAAACCCTAAAGCAAACACTAAAATAACAAAACAAAGAGTTACAGCTAATAAACCAAAAAAGATAAAATAGAATCTTTAAAAAACTGGATAAAGCCAAAGAAAAGCAGAAAAAGAGGAAAAGGAAACAAAAAAAACTAGACAGGCATATAGATAAATAAAACAAAATTAAATGGCAGAGTATATATCATAGTGATTTTAAAAAGCAAATCCCAACCAACTACATACTGCTTATAAATTATGCACTAGAAGTACACAGGCAGAAACAGGTTCAAAGTGAAAAGATAGGAAAAGGTATCAGAATAACACTGATCAAAAGAAAACTGAGTATTTTACCAACAGAGTAAGTAGGTCTCAGAAAAAAGAAGATTATCAAACAAAAGGATAAAGGTCATTTCATAATATAAAGGGGATGGGTTCATCATGAAACAGAACAGTCTTAAATGTTTATGCACCTAATAACAGAATTCCAAAATATCTGAAGCAAAAAATACACAAATAAATACAGACATATGCCGGGCATGGTGGCTCATGCTTGTAACCCCAGCACTTCGGGAGGCTGAGGAGGGCAGATCACAAGGTCAGGAGATAGAGACCAGCCTGGCCAACATGGCAAAACCCCATCTCTCCTAAAAATACAAAAAATTAGCTGGACATAGTGGTACACGCCTATAGTCCCAGCTACTCAGGAGGCTGAGGCAGGAGAATCACTTGAACCCGGGAGGCGGAGGTTTCAGTGAACCAAGATCAGTCCAGCCTGAGCGACAGACCAAGGCTCCGTATCAAAAATAAATAAATAAATAAATAAATAGAGAAAGATAGATATATTTCCAAGGAGATACAGAAAAATCCACAATTACAGTCAGAGATTTCAATACCCCCCTCTCAAAAACTAATAATAACTAGTAAAAAACGAATAACTAGTAAAAAAAAAAAACAATAACTAGTAAAAAAACGAATAAGGATACAGAAGAGTTGAACAACACTATCATCCAACATACTCTAATTGACATATATGAAACACTCTAACAACAGCAAAAAATACACATTCTTTTCAGGTGCACACTGAACATTTACCAAGATAGATCATATTCTACGCCATAAGACAAATCTCAATGAATCTAAGAGAATTCAAGTATACAAATTATTTTTCTGAACACACAAAAGACTTAAATAGAAATCAATAAAAAGGTAGCTGTGAGTAACAAAGGAAGCTATTAAATGTCTTCCCACAACTATCTTATTAAAAGCATTCCATTAGATAAGTTGTTTCTTCTGCAATAGACTGAATACTGCTCCCATGGTATCACAGTCCTGCAAAGCGACTATCATGTAACAAAATGAAGTTTACTGCTATTTCTCACTCTATTCACCAATCGAATGGAAAAACTACTCAACTGCAATTGCCTTCAGAATACATCCTCAGTGTGAGGCATGGAGTAATCAATAAAAACTGCAAATGATAAGCAAAGGCTATTCCAGACAGAAGAAAAACCATATGCCTAGAATGAAGAAGAGCCATGGAATATTTGGAACAATGAGAGGCCCAATAAGGCTGAAGTGCAGACTACAAGAAACAAATGGAAGAACACAACTATTGAGGAGGTCAAAGGACAATTTAATCACCATTATCATATAAGTTCATCTAGACATTTTGCTATGTGCTTTATATATTACACACAATCATATATTTATATATAAGATATATAATTTATCTAATAACAACAAGTTTTGAGACAGAGTCTTGCTCTGTCACCCAGGCTGGAGTATGGTGGCGTGATCTCGGCTTACTGCAACCTCTGCCCCTGGGGTTGTTCAAGCGATTCTCCTGCCTCAGCCTCCCAAGTAGCTAGAACTACAGGCATGCGCTACCATGCCCAGGTAATTTTGTATTTTAGTGGAGACAGGGTTTCTTCATTTTGGCCAGGTTGCTCTCGAACTCCTGACCTCAGGTGATCCACCTGCCACAGCCTGACAAAGTGCTGGGATTACAGGCATGAGCCACCATGCCCAGCCTAATAACAACATTTTAAAATAGATATTATCATCATTTTGCAAATGAGGAAACTGAGATTTAGTAAGGCTAACAAATTTGCTGTAACTTGCTCAAAAAAAAAAGTAAAGCTCTCAAGACCTGTTCGACTTCAATCTGTGCTTTAACTATTATTACTATGGTGCTTCTAAATTCTGTGCAAAATTATACCATATTTTTATTCATTGTGCTCTTTTACTTTTTACCACCAATGAAAAAAATATATATCTTCATCTGATTCTTGACTCTTTCCAAGTTACCCTTCTGTTCTACCACCGTCTGAACTTCTGTATCATAATACAGAAAATTCTGCATAATCTTCTCCAATATTATTATGTTAGTATTCTAAATTCTATATCATTTCTCCATTCAGCTTCCTTCATGTGTATGCTCAGATTTACTTCAATGTTTCCACCATAATTTTAGTTCCTTCTATTTTTTGCCTTGCTGTCTATAGAAGTTCTCAAGATAAGGAAGAGTTCATAATCACCATCTATTCCCCAATTTACATTAAATGTAGAATTCATCATTTACAATTTTTCTTAAAACTACTTTTCAAATTATCAAACTTCACCTTTGTCTGTGAGCTAACTACCTTTGTGAGCTGTGAACTGTTCTCTTTTACTTATATATTTGGTCGCATGCCTATTAGTTACAAAATATTTAAAGAATTAATGGCCAAAACATTTCTAAATTTTATGCAAACTAAATATTCACAGATGCAAGAAGCTTAACAAATCTTAAGCTCAAAAAGAGAGAAAGAAAAGTACACATTATAATCCCATTGCTCCAAACAACTGATAAGAGAAAATCTGGAAAGCAGCTAGAGAAAAGACACTTCAAAGAGAAGAATATAATCTACAAAATTTTGCCTATTAAGGAGAGATTTTTAAAATGTTTCCATTTTTATTTGTTAAACGTGACTCCATCTGGATATCTATGGTTCTAGTGGTACAACTCTACAATCTGTTATATTACGACCATGACCAGGCATGTGTTTCCACTGCTTAACAACAACCAACTCAATTCTTAGGTCATTAATACAATCATAACACAGGAAAGGGAATGACTGACTTTTTTTTTACATTTTCTTCCCATGAATTCTTATTCTTAACAAACATATGTGAGTAAATACGGCATTATTGAAATTTGTATATATTAAAAAAAGGCCTTACAACTAGTCTTTTTCCAGAACCAAGTTTTTGCTGTTCAGTCTCCTGCCTTTTATCTGCATCTGTTGCAAAAGCAAGTACTTGGTACCTGTATGAAAGAAATAAAAAAATTGTAAATGAGTTTATAATTAAAACTTATAAATTATTTTAAACTTTAAAAGTATACCATAATCTATAAACATTATAAAACACTTTTTCCTTGTTTTTAAAAACTGTAAAATTTAAGATTGAATTCTTATTGAGTGATATTGTGACATAAGACTGTGCAAAATGTCATGATAAAGAAATTATAACCATATATCCATTATTCAGCATTGGGAAAACAGCTCTACCAACTATCAAAGCACTTTCATTAGAATTTTATGTGACAAATAACAATACTCAAGAAAGATCTAACACCTAAATACCAAATAGACAGAAAAAATGTAAATATGCAAAGCAGTCAGATGGAGTAGAAAGTATCAATACATAATCTATGGAACCAAAAAGAACTGAGTTTAACCCCAGTTTAACCACTTACTAGGTAAGTACATTTTTGGCACATAATCACTCTGTGTATGGCTTCCTCATCCATAAAACAGAAATAATAATAGAGTCTCTAACACAATCATTGTTAAAAGGATTAAAAAATAAATTATAAAGTACCTAGTATTTGGTATATAGTAGGTATACAATTATTGATTGATGGGTTGACAAAGAGACAGATTTATATAGAGATAGAGATCAATCACATAGTAGTTTGTAGCTGGTAGGTAGCGAGTTGTCAGTAATGGACATTGTAATCTATAAGTATTTTACAGCTTCCATTTCAATACTGACATTTAGCTCAAATTATTCTTAAAAACAATTTATAAATATTATTCGATCTAGAAATCATTAATTTATCTAATAAAGTTGAAATTTCTATATTTCTCATTAATTAATGACATATTTTTAGAATAATAAGCTTACTCGACATAAAGCAACTACAGACTCATGTATGCCTTTCCCTCCTATTGAATCAAAACTCATATTTTCTAAGAGACAGATATCTGAGAGTATAAAAATCAGGGACTTGAATGAAGGCAATGCAGCATATCTAAATGAGCACTGAAATGTACAATGGTCTTCAAATGTCATATACCAACTCTGAAAATATCCTATCTCAATCAAGAATAATTCACTTATAAAAAACTGTAACTTCAGTTGAATGCAGAATGACTACGGTTTAAGATTTTGCAAGACAGAAGCTGATGACGAACTTAACAATAGCCTATAAAAAACAGATCATGATTATTTCCTGATTAGGAACAGCTCCAGCCTCCAGCTCCCAGCATGAGTGACACAGAAGACGGGTGATTTCTGCATTTTCAACTGAGGTACCAGGTTCATCTCACTGGGGAGTGCCGGACAATCGGTGCTGGTCAGTTGGTGCAGCCCAACCAGCAAGAGGTGAAGCAGGGCAAGGCATCACCTCACCTGGGAAGTGCAAGGGGGAAGGGAATCCCTTTTCCTAGCCAAGGGAAACTGAGACACACACCACCTGGAAAATCGGGTAACTCCCACCCTAATACTGTGCTTTACCAAGGGTCTTAGTAAATGGCACACCAGGAGATTATAGCCCATACTTGGCCCAGAAGGTCCCACGGCCACAGAGCCTCCCTCATTGCTAGCACAGCAGTCTGAGATCTAACTGCAAGGCGGCAGCGAGGCTGGGGGAGGGGTGCCCGCCATTGCTGAGGCTTAAGTGGGTAAACAAAGCCACCAGGAAGCTCGAGTTGGGTGGAGCCCACCGCAGCTCAAGGAAGCCGGCCTGCCTCTGTAGACTCCTCCTCTGGGGACAGGGCATAGCTAAACAAAAAAGCAGCAAAAACCTCGGCAGAGGTAAATGCCCCTGTGTGATAGCTTTGAAGAGAGCAGTGGATCTCCCAACATGGAGGTTAAGATCTGAGAACAGACAGACTGCCTGCTCAAGTGGGTCCCTGACCCCTGAGTAGTCTAACTGGGAGACATCTCCCACTAGGTGCAGACTGACATCTCACACCTCACACAGTGGGGTACACCCCTGAGACGAAGCTTCCAGAGCAAGAATCAGACAGCAACCCTCACTGTGCAGCAATATTCAATCTTCTGCAGCCTCCGCTGCTGATACCCCGGCAAACAGGGTCTGGAGTGGACCTCAAGCAAACGCCAACAGACTTACAGCTGAGGGTCCTGACTGTTAGAAGGAAAACTAACAAACAGAAAGGACACCCATACCAAAACCCCATCAGTACGTCACCATCATCAAAGACCAAAGGCAGATAAAACCACAAAGATGGGGAAAAAGCAGGGCAGAAAAGCTGGAAATTCAAAAAATCAGAGAGCATCTCCCCCTCCAAAGGAAC